ACTTTTTTTTTTTTTTTTTTTCTTGGACAAGGATGTTGTTCTTCAACTGGACTTGGTGGGAGGGGAAGCGAGAGAGAAAAAAGAAACTATTCTTTGTACAAGCAAAGGATAACGTTTTTTTTTTCTTTTTTTTTTATAATTTCTCCCTGATCCTTCCACCGAAAGTCATAAAAGACATATATCCATGTGTTTGCTTGTGTGTTTTTTGTGTGTATTCTTCACACATTTCAGCGCAAACTCTTTTCTTTTCTTCTGATTCTCCTTTGATTTTCTTTTTCTGTTTTCGTTCTCTTTTGCATCTCTCTTTCTCCATTTCAGTTGGAATGACTGGTATGGCGCAGAGGAGAGGTGAGGCGCGTAGTACAGCACGCCTTTGTCTGCGTTTGTGTGGGTGGGTGAAAAGAGAAGACTGAGAACAGTTTGGAGATCAGGCATCACAATGGTGTAAAGAAGAAGAAGAAGAAACAAAGTAAAGAGGAAGAGGAAAGAAGTTAATCGATGGCGAGATGCGTTATCTTATTATGAATATATGTTCTTTTTCTTTTTTTTTTCTTAGGTTCCGTCTTTTTACTTTTCCTTTCGGTTGTTTTTTTTTTTTCTGTTTTTGATATTATTTCTCCATTTCATTATCTTTTTTTCCTTGAATAAAAAACGAAGGAAAAAGGAGAATGAAATAGAGAAGAAAGATGGATATACAACTTTGCGAATTAAACTGTTACAATATATGAGGTGGCTCATTGTATGTAATCTGCATTCATTCTGTATATTAGTGTTATTCTCTTTTTTTTTCTTTTCTTTTTCTTATTTGTTTTTTCTTTCTTTTTTTTTGTGCTGGTTGCATTCACAAGAAACCGGCAGGGAGGTGGGAGTAGGAGACAAGAGGAATTGCACAGATCCACCATAGGTCTAGGGAAATTAAGAAGAACCACAAGAAGAACAGAGGAAAAGAAGGAAAAGAAAAAAAAAAAGAAGAAATAAAAAAGGAAGAAAAAAAAAAAGAAAAAAAAAAGGGGGTATTAGATTTGTTGTATTTATTTATTTATTTCTTCTTTTCCTGTGCTTCCCACCGCTCACCCCCTAATTGTAGCAAACACACAAGCAAGCAGTCACGAGTAGAAGGCTAAAAAAAAAAAAGAAAGAAGAGGAGGAGAAGAGTGTTTGTGTGTGTGTGAAGGAGAGGTTATCAAAGAACAGAAAAAGGGTAAAAAAAAAAAAAGAAAAGGACCCGCTAGGCGATCATAATAGCAATAGCAACAGCAGAAGCAGCAGTAATAGTAGTAATAGTCGTGGGTGCTTTTCTTTCTGCTTTGTTGTTGTAATTTCTCTCCCAATTTCGTTATTGGTTTTTTTTTTTTTTTTTTTTTTTTTTTTTACAGGTGCTGATATATACGAATTTACGCACGGACTTTCATACAAACAGGGAATCAGCCGCATACTCAGGCATAAACTCATACGCAATTCGAAGGTCTTTTCGTGAAGAGAGTAGAAAGAAAGAAAGAGAACACTAATTACAGAGGTTCAGGTGGGTTTCTCATTCACCTCTATTTTTGCTGTCGTTGTGGTTATTTCTCTTTTTTGATACCTTTCTTCACGTAGGGTAGTCTTTTCTCACGAGGTTCTTCTTTTCTTCTCTTTCGTTCTCTTTTTCATTTTTTCCTTTCTTCCCCATAAGTACTACGAACTGGGGAAAGAGAAAGGAAAAAAAAAGAGTTTTGCAGAGAAAAGAGAGCGATTGAAAAGAAAAAAAAAAAGGAAAAGAAGGAATTTGCGCGAGGTGCAGTTCGCACTCTGCCAGAGTACCTGAGTGAAACATTGCAGGTGTATTCTCTTTTGTATATTTTTTTTTCGTGTTTTCTTTTTTAATTATATATATATATATATATTATTATTATTATTATTGCTTTCGTTTTCCTTCTCTTGTGTGTATTGGGTACTGCTGTAACTGTGCGGGTGTTTTGGGGACGACTACACGTGATATTCAAAAAAGAGGGAAAACAAATACACGTGTACAACCATATATATTGATTATA